CATACAGTCAAATGGTGCGTGCTGGCCTCTCGCGCTTATATAGACCATCATCATCTTCTTCTTGCTCGGCAGGACAGGAGCGGCGGAGCCCGGACGTGCAGCAGAGCGCAGCCATGGGGGAGCAGTACCCGCACACGTACGGCGGCGAGCCGGCGGCCGCCGCGGAGCAGGCGAGCGCGCCGGAGCGGCGGTACCGCGGCGTGAGGCAGCGGCCGTGGGGCAAGTGGGCCGCGGAGATCCGCGACCCGCACAAGGCCGCCCGCGTGTGGCTCGGCACCTTCGAGACCGCCGAGGCCGCCGCGCGCGCCTACGACGAGGCCGCGCTCCGCTTCCGCGGCAGCCGCGCCAAGCTCAACTTCCCCGAGGACGCGCGCCTCACCACCCCGGTGGCACCCACCACCGCGAGCGCGGCGCCGACGGTGGCCTCCTCGGCGGCCGCCTACCCCGCCGGCGCCGTCTCGGACTACTTGCAGTACCAGATGCTTCTGCGCGCAGGAGGTGGCGGGTTCCCGCCGTACTACGGCGGCGGCGGCGGTTCGTCTTCGGGGTCCTACTCGCTCCCGGAGTCCTCTGTGACCGTGGCCTCCGTGCCGTCCTCTGCCTCCTCTGCTTCGGGTTACGGCGGCGCGGCGGCGGAGCACGGCGAGGCGGCGCAGTGGGCGTGGCCCGCGGAGACTGCATGGACCTACCCGGCGACCACGGGCTCGTGGTCCGGTTCGAGCCAGTATCCGCCGCCACCTCAATAGTGGTCGTTTCTTGTTTACTTTTCTCCTTCAAGAAAAAGAGTCCCTGTAACACTGGGAAAGCTAGCTCAGACGTGCGCCGATGGTGTGATGCCGTGCCGTTCAACACTTGAACATGCGCGCGTGCTGGAAGCCAGAGCACGCCACCCCACAGCACTGTAATGTTCATGTTCGTTCTTTCGCTTTGTTGATGTTGAAAATCAAGTTTCATTTTCTTTTTAAATGAAAACGAAGGAAGGTTTGGTTTTAGACCAACATCTCCTCGCGTTTTGTCGCTGCAATGATCTGATAATATCCTGGCATAGACCTCTTTCAAAGGAAAATAAAGAAAGGTTATTCACAGTTGCAGAAAGAAAAAGCCAAGTTGTTGATCGAGTGGTAAAATGGACCAAAATTGGAGACACATATGGCTTGCCTGAAAAAGAAAACTACTCCTGTGAGACATATACGAAATAAACTACTCCTGAAAAAAAACTATTCATGATCATCTTATTTCTCTATTTCCCGATGAATTCTTCCTTCTTCTCCTCTACCATCTCCCAACTGTCCGCCTCGCCTAGCCCGAGCCGGTGCCTCCCATGTGTTGACGTCGCTCCTGGCCATCTATCAAACCTCGAACTCTCCTCCAGCAGTGGCGACGTTGCCACATCGACCAGGAGCTACTTCGGGGGCGCTTCTATCCGTTGCTGCACCGCCGTCTAGGCCCCTCGGAGAGCTTCATCCAAAACCAATAGACGGGAAAGAAAGTTTCAAGCAACTGAAGAATAGCAAAACCGACCAAAATTATGTTTTGGCTCTTTATGATGTACATTTAAAAAGTTGTTGAATATATACATTGTTTGTAGTTTTTGGCTCTTTTGTACGAGGCTATGAGCACTATACTCTTAGCTCGGGAATGATTTGAGTGTTGCAAGTCGTAACAGGGTGGAGGAAGCTAAAATGCTAGAATTGTAGTTAGGTGTTTAAGCCATGGGTGTTGCCTCACATCTTTTTTCCTTCAAGCATAATCAACTACACTCTCTATTCACTGTTATAAGGCGCTGTAGACACTTTAGACAGCGTGCAAAACAGCTCAATTTCAGTTGACTGAAATGACTTAAAAAAATGAATGGAGGGAGTACTTTTACTTGTCATTAAAATGAATAAAAGGGGATGTATCTAGATGTATTTTAGTTCTAGATACATCATTTTTTGTCCATTTTGATGACAAGTATTTTCGGACAGAGGGAGTACTAGCTAATAATCCACATAATCCCATTGAATATCAGGTATACCTTGAGACTAAAACACGAGAGATTTGGCACCCTATGTCTAGCAGGCACCACCGAATCCGTGAAAAGATGGATTGACAACTACTTATTGTGCCATAGTGACTATAGTGATGGCGCATAATATAAACCTCAGAGGTCATATCTTTAAATTCACCATTTTGACTTCATCATCCCCGCGATTGGGCCCTTTGGTCAGTGCACAAGAGTTTGAGCCTTTCTTTTGTTTAAGATCGATAGAAACGAGTTGCTCCGAGAGCTCGTACACCTCTCACGTCACGCAACCAGGTTGTCAATGTCCCCTAAAAAAAACCACGGTTGTCAATGGCTGAGCGTCCGCTTTGTATCATGTCCCCGTTCATGTCACTTGTTCGCACAACAGCAACGCTAGCCAGTTAAATGAGTGCCACACATGCAAATAAAAGAAGAAGAAGAAGAAAAAAACTATCAACCGCCACAGCACGGCCCAACAAGTGACCACTACTCAACCCAGAAACAAATGAGCCAACAAATTGATATCCAACTAGACGACAGAAAGTAGGCAGTGGGCACTGCGTTTTATTTAGAACTGGCAGTCAGCAGCAGATGCTAATGGGCTGTTGTGGTACGACCCATGAATTGATTTTTTTTCTATGTTCAAATGAATATATTATTTATTTATTTACATAATCATTTAATTATAATAAAAAAAAAATCAAGTTTTCTTTAAAAGTGTGCACGAATTTTTGACAAAGTTCACGTGGATACCTTTTAAAACAAATGTTCACGTGACTAAAAATATGTTCGTGTAATTTTAGAGATTTTTCATATAAAAAATGTTCTTGTATTTTTCTAAATTTGTTGTAATTAAGCAAAACATCATGTAATTTTACAAAAAAGGTTTTGCACATTTTAGGAAAAATGTGTGTGTAAGTTTTTAAAAGTGTTCACAAATTTTACAAATATTTTTAAATTTTAAAAAGTGTTCATGAGTTAAAAAAATGTGTGTGTCTTTTTCAAACATATTTATATAAGTTGGGAAAATAAGAGAAATGAAAAATGAAGGTGGAAAAAAGAAAAGCAAAACAATAGAAATCTGGAAATAAATACAAATTAAAAGAATAAAAGACATTGAAAAATGGGCCTCGAGCATGTAAAGCACCCATGGACAATCAACGCGTTATTGCCAATATATCTGTTGTATGGCAGTCAGGGCAGTCGTCGTGCTATGAAGCGCAGGAAATGCTTTTAGTAGTTGTATCACGTCTCAACCCATCAAACCTTAAGTATAAGTGTATCTAGCATCAAGCTCGCATCATCGAGATATCGATCCAATCCTAGTACTAGCAATGGGTAAATGGGTTGCCTAGTTTAGCAATCTAAATGTTAACACCTACTAATTTATCTTCAGGGAGGGGGGAGGTGGGGTAGGAGATTTGGTCTTTGTAGGGGAGCGTTCTATGCAGCAAAAAAAGGCTATTCACTCACGTCAATCTCAGGAATACTATGGAGGCACAAGTGATGATAATCTCACCAGTAATCCACCCAACGAAAGTTGAGGAGGAAGAGTTGATGAAGCTCGCCGATTCTTGCCGCTAGGTTATGCCTCTCGGTTGCGAGAATTTTCTCCAGGATGATCAGCCGATCTAGTGTAGAAGTAGACGACACCTCCAAGGTATCCACGTGTATTGATTTAGAGGCACTTCGTGGATTAACACAAAGAGGTAGTGCGAAAACTAGAGGGAGAGATAGCCTAGCGACGTAACAATCCATAGTGAGTCTAGATCAGAGAAAGAGAGAGGGCACAGGGCAAGGATGGTCGCCCTCCAAGGCCGTTTTGTCTGTCCATGGTACACTCCCACCTCTATGTGTAGGTGGATGGGAAATAGGGATGGTCTACTTGGGGAGGGGATCCTTCCCTGGTTCGGCCGACCTAGAAGAGGAGTCATCCTAGGATCCACCTCTCGGGTGGCTTGCCCCACAAGTCATGTGGCAGGCGACCAACTTGGGTCCATGTGGCACCTTGCCCCTCAAGGAATAGGGGGCGGCTCACTAGTCAGTAGGGACCATTCATAATATTCTTGAAGGTTCGAGAACATTTCGGGGTCTTTCAGAAGCTTTAGCACCTTCCAGGGCATTCCAGGTAAATCTGGGACGCTCCCGGACCTCCTAGAACACTTCCGAGATCATCCGAATTTTTTTTAGAGCCCGTTCTCTCATTCTCTATGACCTTCTAGTCCTCCTACATACCGCTAGTTAGTGAACGTGTGACTTTAATAATATGTGCATATGTTCGGAACACCTTTCGATCGATAATTATTAGCAGGATCTGGGCACCCATAATAATACCCGCATACCAACGGAGATTTTTATCAAGCCAACATCTTTTTATTGTGTATATACAATCGCATACAATTCCCTTTTCTTTTCCTTTTGAGGCATACAATTCCCTTTACTACGCCATATATTACTAAACCAGAGGCCCAAATGGACTGACTGGTAAGCAAACAGGCTCATGAGCACGTCGGCCCAAACGCAAACAGTAGAAACACGGGCCGGTCGACTTGGAAACATCGAACAAACAGCGGGCCCACGGATAAAACCAGGACACCGAGTCAGTCACCGACGACCGACCGCGCGCGCGACGGATTTGACCATGACCCTCGCCGCCGCGCTGCATCTGCAACCCGCAGCGTCCGCCGTCCGCTACGCCTCCTCTCCTCCTCCTCCTCCCACAGCTGGGCCCGCGCTATCTCCGGGACCCACCTTCAGTGACAGGTAGACCGTAGACCCCACGTCACCTCCAACCGCACGGGCCCCACGGGTACAACACGGTAGCGTGGGGCAGTTCGGTCACTCCACGACGCGTCCCTCCCTCCCTTCCCCCGCGGACTCCGCCACCAACCGCCTCCTCCTCTTTCCGCTGCAGCTGCTGCCGTCACACTAGCTACCGAAACCGTCGCCGTCGTCCTCCTCCTCCCCTCCCGCCCGCCTCGACCCCTCCGCCGCAATGCCGGAGGAGAAGGAGTACGTCGCCGTTCCCATGGGCCAGGCGCCGGAGCCCGCGGACCCCGAGGACCCCGTCAAGTCGCCGCCGCGCCCCACCTCGCCGGCCACCTCCACCCGCCAGGTAGCGCGGATCGATCTGCCTTAATACCGCCTGTAGTCCCCCCGACGCGGTGGGGCTTAGAGCTGCCGAAACCCTTCTGGTTGCTTGCTCGGATCTGGCCGCGCCTCCCCGTTTGATCGAATCCGAGGCTTCTGCATGCCTTCTGGGGTTGTCACCGAGCTTGACTTTAAGGTTTCCATGGTTGCATTGGAGGTTCGCTTGTTTCGTCATGCGTATTGTGTGCTGTTGGTCAGATGTCTACGCCGTAAACAGTCCGACAAATTGACTGCATCAGTGTCAGTGCGAGTCCTATTGGAGGTAGAGGTACTTGTGTTACTGCGGAGCTCCGGCCAGATGCCTGTGTTTAACAAACCTACTATTCAGGATGCACGGTGCAGGTTTTATAACCCGGCAAAAGTGAATTTAATCAAGTTTAGATGTCGTCATCTTGCATGTGTCTGAATGACCTCCTATAACACTTTGCTTGGTTTGTTCATGAGGTATACGCATTTGCTTTATTCTCATAAATAGCAAATGCATGAGTACTGGCTGCAGGCTATACTTCTGTTGGAGAATATGCAAATGCAACTAACAATAGGAATTTGACAACTGCAATTAGTTCACTGCCCCGTAGTATTAGGTCTTTGGAACCCCAAACCCATGAACTGACACTAAAATTTGACAGCATCCTTCTGGGCGATCATACTACTTAAATATTTTGGTTATCTCTACATATTTTCCATCTTGAAGTGTCGTTTAGTCAACCATCGGTTCTTAGGCACTAGAGCATAAAGATTGTTCGATCAAAGTAGACAACACTTGGACCCAGCATTGTTACTGTACGTTCTTGTTCTGTTCTCTCATTTTACCTGAATGAGCTCTACTTTCTTTGCATGCTATGCTATATCTTTTCAAGATAGTTATTTCATACCTAACCTGCTAATTCAATAGGCATGCTTTGCGGTCCTTCAAAGCTGGGTGTCAAGAAAATTTATGACTGGATGGTATGCTTTGCAGGAACTGATTCATAGAAGTTGCAAGACCTGTAAATTATCCATGCCTAATATTCTCTTTCTTGTTTGCAGTGTAGTTATTTTCCCAATGGCTGTGACATTCTTCATCACTTGGTGGTTTATTCGATTTTTTGATGGATTCTTCAGTCCACTCTATGCAAAGCTTGGAGTCGATGTATTTGGTACTTGTTCCACAAATACTTATGTCTAGCCACTTGCTGGTCATGGTAAAATTGTAGTATCAGACAAACAGTAATACTCCCTCCGTAAAGAAATATAAGAGCGCTTAGATCACAGCGCTCTTATATTTCTTTACAGAGGGAGTACATATTTACTCTATTTGTATGCCATATAGTGGTGCAGACTTAGTTAGCCTACTTTTTTTTTCTCCGTTGGCTCCTTGCTTGTGTTTGATCTAGATTTAATCTCCAAAAGGATCTATCACATGCAAATTTGAGTTCAGAGAGATGTGCTTGTTTCTGTGGGACTGCCAAGGCTATTTAGTTTATATATACTGCTCTCGTTAGTTGTACGATGGAAAAAATGGTACCGAGCTCCTGATGGTGCCAGTTACTGAGATCCTTTGAAATCATTGAGTACATGAGGAAAAAGCAGCCTCAGGCTATTAAAAACAAACTGTCATTACTCAGTTCTACTGACAAATATTCATGATTTGCTCTATACTGAGTACTACAATTTTTCTTGATTCCAGGCCTTGGGTTTGTGACATCTCTGGTATTCATATTTATTGTTGGAATATTTGTGTCATCATGGGTGGGCTCAACTGTCTTCTGGGTTGGAGAATGGTTTATAAAGAAAATGCCATTTGTAAGGCACATATATTCTGCATCAAAGCAAGTTAGTACTGCTGTTTCACCAGGTAATTTATGATCATCTGAAGTGCTCCAGAATATCTGACAACTATGTTCGTTCTTTCTTAAATTTCTGTCATGTATGATTTTCATTGTTAGTGCATAACTGTTTCTTGAAGAGAAGTGTCAGTGGATGGCGTATATATATACAAACCCATAACTTCTTAGTCGGGTAAAACATTATATAAGTACCAGTACTTCACAAAAAAACACATTTATAGGCCACTAGTTTTTCTTCAAGTTACATGAGCTTATGAAGTTAATAGGATAATCCACATGAAGACCATATGAATGTTGCGACAACAGCGTGTTTGCTGTTTCTATGCACCACATCATTGACAAACTGGTTTGGTTGAAATCTTTATGTTCCAACTTACTTGTAGTTCCTTCTGCCCAACCAGAAAAAAAAATCTTATAATACATTTTATTCATTTGACAGATCAAAATACAGCAGCATTTAAAGAAGTGGCAATAATTAGCCATCCCCGTGCTGGTGAATACGCATTTGGATTCATAACATCGAGCATGATTCTTCAGGTACTTGTTTATGCAAATCGCTTTCTACAGATGGATTGACGGCATCAACCGAATTTGAATGCTTCACTCAAGATAATTTACTCATTTATATGCTTTCGAGAATATTGATTTGATAATTTTCATAAGTTACACAAAGATTCACACCGTACTTGTGTGTGCTCTTTTTCTGTGTTGCCTCATGCATGAAATGGTTCACTTTCAGGAAAGTGTCACCCATTAGTTGTGATTTGTGACATCTAAACCCTTTTAAATCTCAAGAGTGTAAAGATTCACCGAAAATAATCAAGACCAAGCCTAGTGTGGCCTGGCTGGGCTTATCTTAGTAGTCAACTTATCCGGATTAACCTATAATCTCTATATAAGGTGGTTTAAATCAGTCACTCCTCTCTCGTACATAAATTTGTTGTGTAAACCCTGAAAAGGCCGGCTAGAGCTGCTTCAAGTTTATGGGGGGCATTTACACATTAGAGTCACAAGGCCAAATAATAGACTCACTTGGCTCCGTCTCAAAGATTATTTGCTGGTAAGTTGCATAAGGCCAAATAAGAACAAAACTAAGCATGTCCAATCAATCATAGGACGCGTCAAAACCTACGGTACTTCAGGTCTTGAGCTCTAGAAAATGGCGTGAAGAATTATTTATCAAGTTAGATTAAGGACAACTGCTACAAAGAGTCAAGGGGCATTTGTCCTTTCTTGTTTTCTGCTGTTTTGTCCAGGATCAACACTAACAGAAGTGATGAACTATGTGATACCTAATTGTCTATGTCCACATGGTTAGCATGTTATGGTGAGCCAATATACTTTGTTTTTGTTGGATTCTGATGTAATCATCTATCATTACATTGCAGACTGACAAAGGTGATGAAGAACTGTGTAGTGTCTATGTGCCAACCAATCATCTATATATTGGTGATATCTTTTTGGTGAACTCTGCGGAAATTATAAGGCCCAATCTGTCCATTCGAGAAGGGATAGGTTGGTGTTATTTTGACGATCCCTTTTTAAGCTCCTTATCATTTCCACTGTTCTGTTCAAAAGAGAATAATTCAATGCCTTCTATAGCAGCTCCTTTAAATGCTAAACCCTATCAGCACTTGCGAATACTATATGCTGTTCTTGTTATTTTCTTGCTGGCAGTTTATTTGTAACATCTCAATCCAGCATAAGCTTATTTTGAGGGCATGTCTCTTATTGTGGTCATTAAGTTTGATATGATAGTCTTTTTAATAACTCCCTCCGTTCGCAAGTATAAGATGTTTTGGATATTTCAATATGGACTACATACGAACTGAAATCAGTGAACAAACACATTAAAACGGGTCTATATACATCCGATTCAGAAAAAAGTTAGATCATCTTATATTTGTGAACGGAGGGAGTAGCATTCTTGCTATATCACCTGGATTTCTAATCTTATGTTTCTGCTATTATGCTCTCTACAGAAATAATTGTTTCTGGAGGAATGACCATGCCACAGGTGATCACAGCGCTAGGACCTGCCCCTGATAAGAACGAGGGCACCCGTTTAAGCAGAATGATGACTGTCTGAGGCTTACAATATCGCCAGCATATCTCAGGTATAGTCGAAGAACTTCCCCAGTCCTCCAGGCCATGTGGGCTGCGACTGAACCTAGATTTCTGATCACTGGCCTAAGTTCGTGTAGGCATTGACATTTAACCTTTGTAGATGTTTACAGCTACTAAAGGAACGCCAAAGTTGTGGACGATGCTACATCTGATGTACAATTTGTAGATTAGAAGCTGGAACACAAGGACTGTGCGATGGAGTAAAACACCGGTTGTATATTAGGCGGGTTAGAAATTAAAGTGGGGTGCTGATGATAGTCGCGCAGCACACTGTACTGAGATTACTGATAATGGTTTGTGGTTCTGATGTGCTCACAGAATGAGTGCTTAGTTACTCATGTTAGGTCATTAGAGTACAATGTAACTTAAACTGAGACAGGTTAATTTTTTTTAACTTTTGATTGATGCTATCGCATTGTTTCGTCAGAAGGATAAACGTGTTACCCCAACGTGTGGTCTGGGATGAGGGACAAATCCACCAGGCACCTGCCTGGAGTTTCTCGTCGTCCTATCTGTGCGCTTGTTGGTTAAGTGACCTGTGAGCTTTGCCCTACCAAACATGGGCGACAATTTGCTTGGCAAACTTTTGCCCAGTGAATTATGAGGCGTTATCAACATGTACAATACTAAGTAAATTAAATATACAAATATTTTGATGAGTCTAATAATACTAATTTCATATGGGAAAAGCTTACCGTCACCCGGCTGATCGCAGCGGCAGAATCTGCCACCTCCCCTGCATGACACACGTCCAGTGAGGGTTCGAATACCGCCAAACATGCTTCTGCAACGAAGGCTATGCGGTGTTGCAATGGTCTAGTATGAATCGTGTTTTACAACAAAACATCTGTCGTGGAATTTTTTTGCAACCAGACCTCAGTTGCAAAAATAATTTTGCAACTAAACAGCTGTTGCAAAAAATTTCTGCAACAAGATCGATGTTTCAGAAATAATTCTGCAACAAGGCCCATGTCAGCGGTGAAGACACACTCGCTCGCTAGATATGGCAAATCCGACGGCTCACGACCCGGATGATCTTTTAAAAAGATGAGCCGACGGACGCGTAACATTGCCCATTTCATATTGGTATTTTCTCAATAAACTTGATTAAAGATAGACAGCAGATTATCGTGAATCGAGAGTTGTGATGCCCGACGAGTGCCGGGAGATGATGAATTCTTTCGGGAGGGCAACTATAGCGCATTGTGCTCGGGAGAGCAATGCTGCTGCGAATGCGATCGAGCAAGTTACAGAAGGAAGTATTTGTAACAGATATGATCGTCGATTGCCAAACTTCAAAAAATGATAATATACTTGATTAAAAATAAGACAACCTTGACATGAAAAGAAGTCACTGATGCATTTGAAGTAGTTTCCGGCCGCTGGTGGAATCCGCCTTCCTGTTGGTTGGGCGCAAATATTAGCAGCTGGGCATCAGAATCTACTTGAACGCGTATTCTGCCAGCCCTGCTCTCACCGAGATGGTCCCAGGGCAACTGGTGCCTGCCACCTGCTTGTGTCGACGAGCCGCTAAACACACAGACGGCAAATTTCGCCCAAAGTTTCATCCACTTGCGTATGCAGGTTCAGTATGAATTATTCATTGCAAGAACACTACTACTTGGTGTCCAGGAGTAAGTATTCTTGCAATGAATAATTTAAACACCAAGAATAATTCAAATGAATTGACTTCTTGGTATTCAAATGGAGTGTTTAATTTATTTAAATACCACAAAGAAGTCAATCCATTTGAATTTTGCCCTTAGCGAACATCGGAACCCTGCAAACTCAAAGTGTCCTTCAATCCCAGTTGCTATACCGCAACCTGCAAGGATCAACCAGAAACACAAACACAGCAATCGCATGATCTGAACTGTTCTCTTTTTCTCTAGATTTCTTTCATTTCATAATTCATACGAGCACAGCACGCACTACAATCCTCTCGTCACCTTAAACCAACAAGGGAGAACTCAGGGACGCTACAGCAAAGACAAAGCAGCAGTCAGGGAGAGAATTCACATCTGAAGGATCATCCAAAGCTTCCTAAAAAGAAAGAGAGGGGGCGCAAAAAGCATGGACCGGGTAGCAGCCAAGCAAAAGCTATATCCCTGGGAGGAGGCGTATCTACAGGCTCTGCATCTGGGAAAATGAGATCCGGATGGTGCTCCCCTCCAGCGGGGTGGCGTGCTTCGACACGAGGGCCTCGGTCGCTTCCTCCTCGCTCTCGAACAGGACGAGGGCCTGCCTCTTGCCGTTCACCTCGAACAGCTTTGTGCCGACGATAGAGCCGTGCTCAGACAGATGGGCGAGGAGCGCTTCCTCGGAGACGTCCTGTGCGAGGGCGGAGACGTGGATCATCTTGGTTGGAGCGCAGCAATGCCGGTAGTTCTTTACCACGTTGGTGTTGAAGCGGTTCAGGCCCGAGTTGATGTAGTCATGCGCGTCAGGGGCAGGGGTTATGGTGGGGTACTTCGAGTAGTTGACGTCCAACTTGTTACCAAATAGCGTGGCCGCCTGCAGCCGAAAAATGGGAAGGTGGCATCAAAATGTCAAAGGTAACAATCATTCCAAATGGAACAGATAAACCAGATAGGTTGATATACTAGAGAAAATGCACGCACCTTTAGATAGTTCACAGCTAGCTCGGCCTGTAACCCATCAGCCATTTCTACAAGGGCGAGATCTGGTTTGTTGTGCAGCACCTTGATTCGAACTATGTTTCCATATAAAGAGAAGAGATTGAAAAGCTTATCCTCATTGGTTTTCTGCACAGAGAAAAGTTAACAATGAAGGACGATCGTCCAAGGTATATAACCTCTACATGGAATCTTAAGACAAGCTGGAACACCCTATAGGTTGGTGTCCAACACCATAAAATACTTAAGATTAGGCCACATTTGTTCTAAGACTTCCCTTAATGGTCAGTTTGGTCCTTAAAACAATAAGAAAGACAAGTCCTACTCAACAACCACATTTTCCATGCATACTTTGACATTTGAAAAAGTAGTCAAAATATCAAGATTGTGAAAGGAGCCTTCGAAGATTCAAAACTTACATCAGTGTTCAAATTACTGACTATCAGTGTGCACCGTTCATTGGTACCGGTCACTCCAGGCGGTAAAGTTCCACCAAATGCAGCTGCAATCGTTGCAGCTCTTCCTGTCTGTTATGCACAAACTCAAATACTTTTGTATGAGAACTCACAGGGATATTTGAACAAGATGCAACAAAAAACAACACTGGAGTAACACCATTCAAAGGGAGTCAGACGCCAACCTGTGAATACGGACCTGTACAAGAAAGGAAACTAAATAAGATATTTTTCATTATCAAAAGAATTATTTATTGAAATTCCGATGTAGTAAGCTACCTCCAGGTTGTTGGAAAGGATAGAGACCCCCAGGATCTGGAAAACCTTGCTGCTCCAACCAATTAAAACATACAGTGGTTAGCTTCAGAGCATAAATGATGCATGTAACAAGTGAGATATATAGCAAAATAAAGAGAACCACTCAACCTGGGAGGGCCTTGGACGTTGTTCTGTAGGCAATGATGGATTCGTGAAATCCCTGGACAAGAAAAGAGATTCACCACGGGTGACTTTCATGTTAACTGATGCTACACAGTAACTGGCATGCCCATGACTGCATTAACTATGTTTCTTGTAGAGATGAGAACTGACAAATTGACCTTACCTAGTTCTCTCATTGTTGAAATGGACTTGCAGTTCGCTGAGACTGGATATCCACATAAATAAAGAAAAACAATCAGATACAACAACTGAGAAAAAATAAATTTCAACTAGGATTAGTCAAAGCTCATACTTGGAATATTGGATGTCTAGCTGGCAGCAACCATCATATATGTTCCTTCCCTGGAAAAGTTTTGTTTGTAAGATTAAGATGTATGAGAATCATACGTAGAATCTAGGACACTAATGGAGCCATGAAGTAATTACATGCAAAGCAGCAAGTGCTTCCACAGCCTCATGACGCGATTGATACTGGATGAGGGCCTGAAAGCCTGCACCAATCAAATAAAATGTATTGAATCGTCTATTTCAGATAGTAAAGATAACCAACTGTTTATTCCAGTCGAAGGACGGACAAAAGCACTAGTCTATAGTAACATATGCCACTATAATTCTTTTTTGTTGTTGCTACTGCTACAATTATTAGTACACATGTTTTAAAACCGTGCCGAACCCGTTGCTACAGAATGTCACACCTAATGTAATCAATTGATGTACTGCACACATTGTTCATACAGTTTGACAATACACCTGCTGTTTTCTGCAGAAGTTATAGCCTGTTACGCATATTACAGATACTTGTTAATACATCAACATTATCATTCAGAGGCAAACTGGGGAGTGAATCAGAGCATCCATATGCAGTTTACATATGGGTGTGTGAGAGAGAAAGAGACGTGGAGTCTGACCAGCTGACTTCTGAAATTTGACAATCTTCTCCACATATCCATATGCTTTGAAAACTTGATGCAGAATCTCCACCGTTATAGGATAGAGCACGTGGTGGACAGTAGCTAGAAGGATTCGGTTGGGTTCTGATTCCTGAGGGCCAGCAGACGACCACCAAGACAGAAGAGTGGGAGAAAGAAAAGAATAAATAGAAAGGAAAAGATAGGTTTATCTAGTTGGAAAAATAAGAGGCAGTAGATATAACATGCAATTTAACTCAGCTATCTAAAAGAAATGATGAGAATATACTAAACATAGCTAACCGTCCTTCAAATTTTGATATATGAAGTATTTCCACAATTTATGGTGTAACTGTCACAGTAATTCAACTTTCTATTTTTACATAATCACACTACCATATTTCCTAGTTGTAGGTTCCATCTTAGGATGATAGCACAATCATATCCTAATCTTGTAGCCTTGTAGGCACCTTTACACAAATATAGTCCCACGGCAAAACCATTTCATGCAACTGAGTAATTGACGGAACTAGATAGCGCATCAATGTGTAATCGAGGCAAGCATTATGCACACTAAACAACCACAAACAAGTCAAAGTAGGGTTTAATAACTTAAGAACACATGTCATTATTTTGAAAATCATCCACAACCTGGACTTACAGAATCTAAAAACCCTTTATAAGAAAATTCAAAAAAACCCTTTATAAGTCAATGTTGTACCACCGCGGTATTGCCACAGCTAAGTACTCCGTCCGTCCCATAATATAAGAACGTTTTTGACACTATGATAGTATCAAAAACGTTCTTATATTTTGGGACAGAGGGAGTATTAGTTAAGAGTATCATGCAGCTGATTGCTCAACACGAAGCTCTAAAAACACTAAGGATAGAGATTTCATAGTTCACTAATGATACTAAGTTACTAACAACTCCAGATAACTCTGAGAAACTTATAAAACAAATCTTACAAGTCGAGGGTAGACAAGTATATACCTGATCAGAATTCCGGCTATGAGAGCTCTGGTCAGTGGTAAGTTCTTGATGGGATGAAAATTGCATGTAAACATGCCTCCCCCTAAATTGACATAAAAGGGTGCACACGTGTGAGAAAAGGAATGAGAACATACCAAACAAAAATATGAAATTTAATGAGAAACCCAGCTGGCTTTTAGGTAGAAATAAGGTACTCCCTCTGTAAACTAATATAAGAGTGTTTAGATTACTACTTTAGTGATCTAAACGCTCTTATATTAGTTTACGGAGGGAGTAACAAACAAGGGCAATGCTAAATTTATATTTGTTGACATAAAGAAAGCAGGTCACGAGGCGCAAACCGTATCATTAAGCATGCATTATCCAGAATGAGCGATAACTATGTACTAGTGGAAGCTAAACATTGCAAAAACTAAGTGCAACTGCGTAGCAGCAAGCATGAGTAAATGCTGGGCTCTTGTGTGGCATCGAAAAACCAACACAACCAAGAACCGCATCACCTTACGCTAGGTTGGACAGCACTGTAGTATTGCAGCGCGCTCACGGAAGAATGAATGTCTTGCATCTGGAGAAGGGCCTGCACCGCAACACTGACAACTTTCAACACCGGGACTGCTTGATTTCTAACAAAAGAAAAACACCACCGGACAACGGCGAAGAACAGAACCCACCTGATTCTTGCCACGCAGCATGACGAGCTTGGACACCGAGCCGAACGGCTGCAGCAGCTGGAGCAGATCGGCCTGCGGCGAACAACGGTGAGGGGAGGCACACGCCGGGTGCAAAAGGCAGTAAAAGCGCAATCTTTATTCAGGGAAGCCGCTCCCCCGATTATTATTTATTCAGAAACGAAAAACGGATTGCCCCGGACGGAACCGCAGGATCGACGAGGCGAAGGCGCAGGATTTCCGTCCCCTCTCACCTCGGTGATCTCGTGCCCGACGTTCCGGATGTGGATCACCTTGGACGGCTCCGCCATCCTGCCGCGCCGCTGAAACAGGGGAAGCGGCCACTAATAAGTCACCAGGGAATTCCTTACGCCACGCAAGGGCAAACGGCGAGGAGAGGCCGACGGGGGGAGATCCAGGGCCGACGTTCCGGCATAGGCGAGATGCATTACCTTGTTGGAGGGTTTAAGCGGGAGGAGGATCTAGGGTTTTGCCCCGCGGAGGGCGAGGCGGAGGGCGAGGCGGAGGTGGAGGGAGGAAGGGAGGGAGGGGAGAAGAGCCGCCGGAGCGTTCTGTTTTGGATTCGGCAGGAAAGAGAGAGATCGAAACGGCTCCGTAATCGGCGTATCCTGAGGCGAACACGTCATACGAGCCGCATAGAACGTGTGTTTTAGGGCGTGTACAACGCTCCATCGTGGACAGCTGCTCCACAGGCCCACGTAGGTTCGGATGCCAGGTGGACGCAAAGGCACGCGGATCCGGCTTGCCTGCTCCCTCCTCATGCTCCCATCCGTGCACCCACTCCATCCTACCGCTGTCTTTTTCTCTTTTTTTTTCTCCCCCTTGATTTTAAGGAGATGGGGCCGGACCTTATTTTGTTCCAATCAAACCATCCTACGTATGCGGGAGCACGGATGGACGCACGCCGAGGGAGCAGGCAAGTCTTGTCCAGCCTCGCAGATGACAGGTGCATCCTGCAGAAGAAGCGGCTGCTTCGTGGAGGAAAGAAGAAATTAGGGAAAAGCATGAGAGAGAAAAGGTGAAAAAGAAGGAGAGAGGGATGTCTCTGTACTGGTTTGCTAGTCATCCATGATGAAGATGAAAAGCAAAAACTATTAAAGTATGGAGGGAAGAGAAAGTGGGGGTCCATTTTACTATTGCCCGCATTGAGCAGTGGGCTATCCAAACGGTGGTTTTAACTAAATTTATTTAATTTTAGGCATGAGGCATCGGTATGGTGATGCTTTCGTTGCTCATGCCCTTACTAGCTGGATCCGATGCGTTTCTCTGATCATCGACGAGATAGATTACCCGTGTCGTACATAAGTTTGTCAAAAATTTCGACACAGCACGCGAACTGAGTGTAGCTCAAACGGTTAAGTCGCTTGTAATGGAACCAGCCCGCCAGAGGTTAAGTCCTAAACTTGTCACCGGTGCTTGCATTTTTCCTACTGTCGACCACAAATGTGCTTGTGGCGCTTTCCGACGATGTCCGTACAGTGAGAGAAAACATTACCGTCAACTACAAATGCATCTGTATCGTGTTCAAAGAAAAAGTGTTGATACAACTTTGGATGACACATCACTAGTTAGAGAGTATGATTCGAGAGTCACCACAGAAAATAAATGTAAAACTCATCTTTTTCTTACACTTGTACATATTTTAATGTTTTCGTAATGAATATAGTGATCTCGTCAAGCATGACGCGATCCGACGCCGGGGGAGTATTCATGTGTAAGTGTGGAAGTGGTTAGGATAATTTTTGTCCCAAAGCGTTTTCGAATTCCTTTTTATGGGATATGGTAAGAGATGTTTGACATCAGACAACAATTGGATCCAGATCCGAGTTCGATTGATAAGATAGGGTATTGGACATGATATTACTAATATACTCTCTCTGTTTCTTTATGTAGAATGTATTATTTTTAGCACGGTGACCAAGGCACATAATTATAGATTAGTTAAGACTAAATTACCCTTGGTAAATTTATTGGTTAGTGGCAAGTAAATCAGTTAGTTCAGGAAAGTAAGAGATACATGCAATTGAGAGAGCTATTTTTTTATTTTTTTACTGCAAAGAGAGATACACACAATCAGAAGAGAGATACTTCCTTTTTTCCAGAGGGCTAAAATAAGAATTATGAGAAATTACAATAAATGCATATTACATTATAAAACTTATCAAAAATCAAATACACCTTATATAAGTGAACGAAGGGAGTACGGCGTATTAGAATAATCTAGTTTTTTAGTAAGATAATCCGATCTTTTAGATTCTGATACCGATTGATGGGTGAAGTTTTAATTAGCAATACGTCAATGTTATCTTTGCTTATGAGACAAGAAATATGCTTGTTAGCGATTTATTTGGCCTATTTTAATATTATCTGATGCTTTATGTCTTTTAAAGTGCATAAGTATTAATAATTGCTCACTGCTTATGTATAATTTTAGTCTAAAACATATATGTTCCTCATATATGAACATGGAAAATGACTTTTTTCTGATCTGGTGTCGTTCCTTTATCGTACCATGCCTGAATCCGCAAAATCCAGTATTAGAATCCACATATTCTGGTATTTAAACCCACATCCATTCTGCTTTTGAATCCGAAAATAAATATACAATGTATAAGGATTATGCGTTCGAAACCTATCCAGTTTCATTCATGTGCATGTTTCGGACCATGCTTGACTTTCCAAAAGGACACTATTAGAGCTCTCCTTTTGGTGAATTTGAGCTATAGACCCTCTCCTCCATATGATTATTTATTTATTAGATAGATATTTTACACTCATGTGGTGAACTTAGCTATGTTTTACTATCCTCCTCACTTTTTCCATGTTCGCCAAGCGGCATCTATCGCCCCTTTGTGGCACGATGGTGCACCGCTTTGCTTCTTGCGCTGACGAGACGATGGTGATTGTTGCCCCGTAACCTTAATGTTGCTTACCTCTACCATAGGCACCTTGTGCGGTTCCGGAGATAGCTCTCAAGTTGTGCATCACGTCATTGGTGACGCGACATCACCTTTGTCCTTTCATGGGAGGCAAGGTCTCCCTACACCGTGACGCCACACCTGTCAGCACACAACCCACCCGTTCGTCCGGCTTTGGGGCCATGGTGGTGATCAGTGGTGGTGGTGTCGTATTGTCAGGTCTCCCACGCCACCATTCAAAGTCGTAGACCCATTCCCGCAAAGATCTTCTGTGAAAGGCAGTGGCCATGCTGGTGAGCTATTTTCCTTTTTATGGATCCTAGAGTATTATTTCTATGAATTCATGAATGATGCAATTAGTTAGTATTTTTTTACAAATTGTGTAACATATTGATATTAATGTTTTTGTGTGATATGGATATGAATATTGCATGCTACTGATATGAATTTGTATGATATTGACATGTTGTTCCATATTTTCCAACACAAATTCTATCCTTTGGAAGGAAAGCCACCGGATTTCCTTCCTTTTTCGGTAAATAATGTAACAATCTGGTGATTGGGATACACCAGCTTCAAAAAGGACCACAAGTTTGTCCAAAGAAAAGAAAAGAAAAATTAAGTGCAAGTTGGTTAGCAATCTCAAAATTGATGAAAAGAAAGAGACATCAGGTGCAAGTGCAATTGTGTAAGTCGATCATGTCTACATGGGGTGTGGACATGGCTCCGTTTTGGACATCATCGGGTTCTGCCAGCGTTGCTACGGTGTGGGCACGTGCTGGATCTAGGGGTGCAACTGTTAGATAATAACGAGAAATAAATGAGACAGAGAGACACTGATTTTTATATGGAAACCCTTACGGGAGAAAATCACGGACGCACGAAGGCGCAATCACTATGAGGAGGAGTATTACAAGCACGAGACGACAGACCGTCTTAGGTGCGACTACATGGGGTATACATGAGGGCAATACATGGGAGTCTTTGGAGGACAAGTAAACGAGTTATACTCGTACGCGTCGGTACCAACGCAAAGGCCCATACCGTATGTACTACGTCTAGTCCAATACGGTAGAATTTGGATCACAATTTAACAATCTCCACCTTGAGCCAAATTCCCTCCAGTAGTCAAAGAAAGTGAATAACTCCATCCAAATTAGTATAAACACCTTGTGCGTCAAAGTCCATAGGACTAGTGAGAAGTACCAACTAAGCCTGAGCAAAGCTCAAACTTATTGGTAGGAACTGGCTTTGTCATCATATCAGCAGGATTATCATGAGTACTTATCTTGCATACCTTCAAATTGCCTTCAGCAACAACATCTCGAATATAATGAAATCTGACATCAATGTGCTTTGTCCTCTCATGATACATTGGATTATTTGTAAGATATATGGCACTTTAACCGTCAGAAAATATGGTAGGGCAAGATGAATCTCCACAAAGCTCAGTGTATAAACCTTTCAACCAGATAGCTTCTTTGCATGCCTCAGAAATAGCCATATACTCGGCATCAGTAGCGGAACATGCCACAATAGACTACAAAGTTGCTCTCCAACTCACAGCACAACCACCAATTATGAAAACATAACCTGTGAATGATCTTCTCTTATCCAAATCACCAGCAAAATCAGAATAAACAAAACCAACAAGTCCATCTCCACTTTTCCCAAACTGTAAATAAGCATTAGAAGTACCTCGCAGGTATCTGAAAATCCACTGAACTGCTTTCCAATGCTCTTTTCCAGGATTAGCCATGTATCTATTGACAACACTCAATGCATATGATAAATCCGGACGAGTACAAACCATGGCATAAATAAGTGAACCAACTGCACTCGAATAGGAAACTCTAGACATGTACTCAATATCTGCATCTGACTTAGGACATAAGGCTGATGATAATTTGAAGTGTGCAGCTAACGGAGTACTTACTGGCTTGGCATTATGCATATTAAAACGACGAAGAACTTTATCAATATATCCTCTCTGACTTAGATATACTTTTCCAGACGGCCTATCTCTGAATATTTCCATGCCAAGTATTTTATTTGCTGCACCCAAATCCTTCATCTCAAATTCATTACGCAATTGCTTCTTTAGTTCATTAATCTCTCACATGCTCTTTGCAGCAAGTAGCATATCATCAACATAAAGGAGCAAATAAATAGTTGAACCATTGACAGTTTTCAAATAAACACAACTATCATAATTAGACCTTTTGAAACCTCGAGAGAGCATAAAGGTGTCAAATCTCTTGTACCATTGTCTAGGGGATTGCCTCAATCCATACAGAGATTTCTTTAACTTACAGACAAACTTTTCTTTTCCAGGAATAATAAAACCTTTAGGTTGTTCCATATAAATATCC